ACACACCTCTCACACTGTCCTACTGCTCTAGCCTGAGGTGACAGGGAAGACATAACATCTATCCATGTCTATATCATGTAGCCGGGGAGCTTTCTGCCTCAGTAACCATGTGGCAGGCATGTCAATGTCTTGTCACTTACACAGGAGCAGAGGAAGAGACATCACACTGAGAACTGTGGGATCAAGTTCTCTGTGCTAACACTACACAGTTCTCAGACAGTAAGACTAATGGTTTCACTTTAAAAGCCTTTCAGGCCTATTACCCAAGCCATCAGGGCTTACAAGTGTTGTAATTTTAGATAGCAAACATTCCTCACTTCAGACGAAGGCTCTAAACAGGAAATGGGTCACTCTGTAGTGTATATACTTAATTAATTTATGACATTACACACTGTAATTTTACTTAATGATTGAATTATCAGGAAATAAAACCTTGCTACTTAATGGTTGTAATCTGAGGGTTATTTCAAGTGGATAATGAGAATAGGTTCCAGCTGGATTCTACCTACTTGTTAGATAGAGTTTTTATTATGCAAGCCTTCAACTGGATACTCACCAATATAAATTCAAATTTAATTTTGGCTGGCTAAGCAACCATTGTTGTTTTGTCAGTGCCATGATCACGGTACCATTCCACAGAGCTATCTCATTCTTAGTGCTAAGACTATTTATATCTCCTACTTCAACAGACTTGAGGCAGTTGTAGCACTAAGATCATGTCATGGAACTGGGCCTGGACAATACAATGTTGAAAGTCAGTCAGTGACCAAATATAACTGGACAGCTGTGGATGGCCATTATGATTTGTCCATCTTGGACTTACATAGCATAGCATGTACTGGGGAGCCTTGCAGTAAATATAACAATTTCTATAAAGCTATGAATCTGTCTTCACCATATTAAGATACGAATACACTGTCCTTGCTGGGTCCTGCAGAAAAATTGGTCCACTGAGTGAGTTGGTTTAGCACAGCAATGATCAATATTTCAGTTATATCACATGTTTGCTTGAAGTGGGAAGGTAGCCTGAAGTGATGCAGGTCTTCGACATCTTCCACTGTTGAAATGAGCACAGGTCTGGTGCTCACAAACCGAGAAACATAATCAAGGTGAACTGGGATTCGAACCCACTATCATAGGTTTCTTGTACGCCTACTCTGTACAGCGAATGACGCAGCCTTATACGACAGCGCCAACCATGCCCCCTGGTCCGAAGTAACGCATGCTTGTGGTAAGAATCATCTGACATTGATTGGAGGTCAGGCCCTGTGATTTGGCTGACTGCAGCAACGCATCATTCTAATATGGTGGGTTTGTCTGGTTGAGAGGGGTTTACAGGTCCATGTGACATAGCTGGAATAGTGCTGACTGCGGTGTTAGACAACACTCACTCATGCATGTTGTAAGAGGCGACTAACGGGATCGGGTGATCATGCTCGCTGACTTGGTTCATGCATGTCATTGTAGACCAATTGCGTGGATCGTTGCTTGTGAATATTGCTGAGTGCGAGGTTAAACAACAAACTAACAAAAAAACTAACACAGTGTTTGGTAGCACTCAATAAAAATCAAAGACAGCCATTAAAATTAAACCTGAGAACTTAATAGGCTGCTGAAGAATATTAAGAAACTTAGAGTTAAGCACAACTAAATAACAAACTTAAGATAAGCTGACTTATCATAAATTTACATAACTTATCACTGCTTATCCTGATGATGAAGTGCTGCATGTACCCTGACCTAATTCACGGAAGACAAACAAAGAGACATGACAGAGTAGGTGAGTCAGAATCATAACAAAAGCCCTGCTTTCAAACCAAGCTTAACTTCCAGACTTGCATCAAGAAAACTGGAACTAAACCCTCGAACAATTACTCCTCTTCCAATGTATCACATGTAGTTCTGTTCCGATTAATGAAATCATCAAAGATTTATCAGGAGGTTCAAACAGCCAAGTAAACCAAAGCAATTTTCCATAACTGAACACAAATGATCTTAAAACCATGAAAGAGTTTGGTTCCCTGGGAAGGTTTGTTCACTACTTCAAGAACTTACTGCTGAAGAAAAAAGTGAGGCCAGTTTTTATAAAAATAATAATATAGTGCTGAAGTAAGCATTCTTGGTAATCATGTTGATTCTTGTTATGTCTGGTCTAGTTTTATTGAATGGAACATGCTAACACAGAAAATGATGCTGATCAATTAATTTTGTATGATCTAATATGAGAACATGATTATTAACCAATTCCCAACACTAATCATGTGTCTAAAATCAAGAGAACATGAGCGAGGGGACACATAGCTGGATCACATACCACAATTACTAGGTCTACATCCTCACTGCAAGTCACAGTCACGGAACATGAGACAACTAATCATTTGTTTGTGTGTTTGTTGCTTAACACCAAACTCAGCAATATTCCAGCTGTATGACAGGTCTGTAAATAATCGAGTCTGGACTAGACAATCCGGTGATTTACATCATGAGCATCGATACACGCAATTGGGATATGATGACATGCATCAACCAAGACCACCCGATTCTGTTAGTCGCCTCCTTTAAATATAGTCGCCATTTACAGCAAGCATGGGTTGCTGAAGACCTATTCTACCTCGGATCTTCACCGGTCAAAACAAGCTACTGACCATGCCGATGAAAATCAGGTAGCTGGTATTATGATTTTATTAAAAACATAATTTACATTAAACACATGTTAAAATAAAAATAAATAAATATTATAAGATTATAATTAAATGATAATAATAATGATAACAGTAATTAGAAATCATGGAAATAATTGTGTTAAACAGTAATCATGGTAATTATCACGATTATCTAATCTAATTATTGGTATTTATTTTTCTTCAGATTTTAATATGACCATTTGTCTGCTAGTCTCAAGAATAATCGAAATCTGAGTGAACACTTGTTTTCTCCCAAAATCTAGTTATGTGATTTAAGTCATTTGTCTGGAACTAGCAGTGGAAGCAATGATTTTCCTTCTGGGGTTTCCCCTGGACAAATAGTATGATCAGCTGATGATAGGTTACTCAAAATACACCGAGCATACCACAACATGTAGAATAGCTGAATAGTTGAGAACATGGTTTAGTTTAAAGAGGCAAAGGGTACTAACATTACTATTCCATTAGTTATTTTTTGTATATACAAGTGCTACTTATGGACAGTCAATTCAGCTGGCAAATTGTTTGAAGGATTCTGGGTTAGAGACAGCACAGCTTCTCAGCCTGTTACCAGGAGAAAACATAGAGGGATTAGTTGGTTCTTCCAAACAACTAGTTTTTTCGAAATGACCTCCGAACTAGTTGGATATAACGATGGTGTTTAACCCTGAAGATCTCAAGTTATTAACTGAATTACCTGGTTGTAATACCAGTCATGCTAACAGCATGTATCTGTAATCAAGTTAGTCATCATCATGATCACTGAGCATGTAGTGAGCAGTCCATACCGTCATGGAATATTGAATAACTCATACCACCACAAAAGTATTTAAAATACAATAAAGACCTTCAACATGATCACATTGCACATTGTTGAGTATTTGGGATAAGGCAGTTACTGCATGTAAATAACACTTCTTTGAGTCACCCTGTCAACAGTAATCATTATTCATATATTCTGACATTGTCCAAGCTCTGTGCTCTAAATCTCACTCTAAATCCTGTGTTGAACACTCATCGTCCCTGCAACCCGAGAATACAGCTCAGGTTCATGAGAAACTGTCTGTTACAGGTAATAAAAAAAATATCCTTTGAAGCTTGTATTTTGCTAATGTCCTCATTCCACCACCTGTATTACCAAGCCGTCCTGGAGGCTGGCCTTGTGCCAGAAGCCAACAAACTGACAGAGGGCTGTTCAGATGGATTTAAGTGTCTTGTAGGGCTGCCCTAAGCATGCTGAGACAGTTTCATCTCCGACATGTAATAACCGGGCTTTATGCTGCTCGTCTAACATGGCGAAGAATTGGTCTGACTGTTCAGCAAAGAAATACATAATTTATTCTGCCCTAGCTTAGATAAACATGGTGTTTTACAGCCAAAATGACCGATATGAACATGATATTGAAACACAGGATGATTTTGTTGAAAAAGACATGTCAATGAACATGATGAAAATCACACTGAAACAAAGATATATATATTCAAATGCTGATTACCATTAAACATTTCTGATGTGCAGATATTCAATTTCAGACCATAACCCCCCTTCTGATACATGTACTAAAATAATTGAACAACTGCTAATGGAGAAACATATACATCAGCTGTACATGAGTAATATACTAATAATGCAGAAATTAAATCCTGTGTGTCCAGGGGTCCATAGATGTTTTGCAATGGTATTACTGTTTATGAATCTAGAGATCTTCTAAATATTTACTTTTTAACAAGAAGGCATTGGCAAGGACCCCTTGATTCTTATCCTTAATTCTGAACATGACAATGCAAGCCTTACACTTTACCATCAAACAATCAATAACTGTATTGAAAGATGAGTTTGTGCATGGTCTTAACGTAACAACATACACAGTAAATGTCTAAAATCATTATTGTAGTTTAACATGTTTGAGGACATTGCCACATAATCTATGCAAAGGAAATGTTATTCATAACACTGAAAGTACTGGTCTTTCTTTAGAACAGATATGCCTTTTTGAACAACATATGATATATTGACCATGTTGACCATCGCTCCATCATGTGTCAATGGTAAGCTCTGTTTACTGACACTCAAACTAAGTGAATCCAGTCAAATGTCACATGGGAATTATATTCAGTGGGAATAAGTAGTAAGATATCATTCAACATGCCCAAAGAATCATCATAGCAATGTAATTTCAAGCTTCTGTACCATATTTTGACTATTACCATGTTTACAGGTGCCTTGATACATCTGTCATCACAATAATTTGAATAAATAGATTTTTTTATGGTAATTTGTAAATATAACCATGATAACGATTACAAAAGATTCACCTCTTCCATATCCATGTGTGTGTTTAGCAAAGCTATTGACAACAGCATCCACTGCTTCCTTGAGGACAGTCTTTGCACGAGCCTCGGTAAGGTTCCCGCCCTGAGGACCGAGGAGATGTGCAGCGGCTGCTGCAGCTGCAGCCCCTTGTTGGAAGGGTGGATGAGGCTTAGGTGCAAGAAGTGGTTTCCCTGTTCTTGGGGCTGGCATTGGTCGACCATTTCCACCACCAGATGCCATTGTTTATTTTGGTTTGAAACTTCACTGGCCAGTAATGGTTATTCCTCCAACATGCATTATATGTTGGGACTGACAAGAGACCATCTATCCCACTCTACAAGATAATACACCTAAGAAAGGAATCCTGTAATCTACTCAGTCAACATAGGAAGTAGCCAAGTTTATTTCCTTGATCCCCTTCTGAAAAAAATTCACGACTGACAGCTATCAAATTCTTGAAATGATCAATACATTCCTATGTCAACCACTTGCAATTGAGTGATAGCTTCTTGTGACAGTAGATCAAGCTTCTTGGTTAGGCAATCAACAGGCTATGCGGATCCCTCGCAGCGTGTCTAATTTTAGTTCAGATGAACGTGTCAAAAAGATATCCGTGTCTTTTTCTGGTCCATTCAAGTATAAATCCAAAGTACACATTCGAGACACTCACGATACCTCCATATATCTATATTATGCACATTTACAGTGCCGCTAGGAGGACACAAGTCAATGACGCGTCACATGTCTGTGCCCACTGTAAACAGTAAATACACACAGAATTCACCGAGGCGAGGCGTCATCTCAAAACAACCACAAACTGACTTGGTGATTTTTGTCTTTAAGCGCTCACGGTCTTCGTAGAAATACGTTGAGTTGGTCAGTCAAGACCTCACATACATATTGTCCAGTTCATGGGGGTATTACGTACATCGATGACCCACAAATGATAATATAAACCAGGTATATCTTTCTCCGGGCTTGACAGATTCCATGGCCCGAAGATTCACCAACTTGCTTCCGCTTCCGTCACATAAGAGATGCATTCTGGGAATGTGAAAATGGCGGCCCCCACTAAAAAGAAGTCTGTCCTTTTCATATGCTTAGGTCAGTTTATGAGATAGTGCTTTTCCTCGATGGCAGTGAATATTGTGCTACAAATGTATGCTAGGTCAATTTATCCAGGTTCGGAGGTTTGAAAAATATGGGTTCTAACCATAACCATCGTTTGCTTATAAGCTACTCGCTGTTCAGTTTTCGTGAACGTTTCTCTTTTTGATGATCATTACAAGGGAAACGAATATGAATAGCCAAGACAGAATCAGTTTTCTTATTGATGTCATGAAGTTGTGCAGTAGCATAGTGTAGACTGTTTTTTGTCAGTATCTATGTTCGGGGTTAGAGTTGTATAATGCTAACCTATGCATGGGCGGAGACAACTTTTTTGAAAAGGTGGGGTGCACAATTAAGATCTATTTATTGTCTTTGGTGGTAATTTATACAGAAATAAAGATTTTTTTCGAAATAAAAGGGGGGTGGGGGTGGGGGTTGCGCACCCCCGCACCCCCCTCTGTATCCGCCCATGCTATGCTTGCTGTCAATGTTAATTGATTTGGTTGTCATGTTCGGTTGCTTGGCAGTGTGTGTGTCATAGTGATGGCGTGGATCATTATGTCTGTCAGTGTCACTAGTTGGTTTCCCTGGTCCAGACTTTTTTATGTACATGCCACTATGGCATTGAGAATCATTCACTTTCTCGCTATTTCTGTTTATTTGTGCATCTCACATGTCCTAGATCCTCACTGATTATGATCTGGGCTATCAGCACTGTACATGCCCTCATGAGCATGATGAGTAAGAGCAGTTCAGTGCTCTATGTTAGTGGTAAGAGAGATTGAGAGGTGGTGAGATTGGGTTTAATGCGGTATGAAATTCAAGATTTTTTCACTAAAAAGTGACTTACTTGCATGTGTGTGTTGCTGCTTGTACTACTCTAGACTTTTTATAGTGCTAGCCCACTGAGGTACCATGCCAAATGGATACCCTACTTGGACACATTATACTAACTCGCTCGTAGTGGCAATTACGAGTTATGTCCCTTCTATATCCCTTCTATTCACCAATCAGATTCCACCTCTCTAATCACTTGCATTTGCTGAAAACGAAATGGCGGCACCCTGTCAAGATGATCTGATCGATAATCAAGATATATTGTACTAAAATGTGTCTTACCTCGCCAAGTACTTGAAATTACTTGAGCACCTTTGGATTTGGAAACATATGTCCATTCCCAGTTGACGGTACACATGCTCTGGTGACTGCCATGCAGATTTTGGTCGTTTGCAGGATATCGTGAGGATAAATTCCCAAGAAAATTATGCCATAGGTTCAAATCAGCTTTGTTAGTCCCACAAGTAATTATTTATTAAATTTTCATCAATATTTTTAAGATGTGAACATAGTGAAGTGGGGGCACTTATGATATTTTTTTGGTAAACAAACTTTTCAAGGCATCTGTGTATGTCAACAGTCAAACAATATCATTCACATGCAGCCTGAAGGTTTGGTAGGACTGTATATTTCATCTAATAAAGAAACAAAACAAACAGTAAAATTTATTGAGAATCATGCCGAATAAATTGTGCTTTTGTCAACAACTTTTCACATTTCACTCATTTTATACAGTCCGTTTGACTCCAAATGAGGACACTGAATTGCAAAATAACTCGAAATCTAGAAAAGTGTATGAAACATCAATACGGTACTTGACCATGAATACCCTGTACCCAACAAAATCTGAACTTTTTGTTTATTTTAAGACCCATGACGGATGAAGTTCTTTAAGAAACTATCATGTAATTTTGTATAGAAATGTGTACATGACACGTAGGGGGGACAAACCGTGGAAGGCACAGCGCAAGCATGCATGCACTGCACGGTCTGTGGTAGGGGAAATGACAGAGCGTTAGAGGGGCCGTCGCATGATAATTTCAGTCGCAATCTGACTCGCTCATGCCATAGATCTCGTCGTTGGAACTGCTGGTGCCTGAACCGACTGCCACTATTATAGGTTGGACTGTTGCTGGCCGTAGACCATCTCGTGACCAATAACGTGGCTCTATCTCATCAACGACTGTGGCCACACAACGCCTCCATGTTTCTACTGTTACCCGACCAAGGGATTCCTTTACGAGTTGTCCAACGTATCGTAATTTGAACGTTGTGTTCGATCGTCCAACCTCACCCTTGACGATGCCCCATACCAACTCGATTGGATTCAGGTCGCAGTGATAAGGTGGCAGTCGTAAGACAGCGTGACCCTGACCCTTGATGTAACTGTCAACTTTATATACGGGGTCAGCTTTCATAGTTTTGATGATTTCATAGAGCTGTGGTTTCGTCACTCGAGAAGGAAAGGTAATGTTCCTCCGTTGCAGCCAAGTAACCATGTCTCCTTTACGGTTATTAGAGGTTGGAGTCTTGTTTTCTGGATCCTGCACACTATGATACGGTGCATTGTCCATGACAATGAGAGACTTGGTAGGCAAAGCAGGGACTAATTTATCTTTCACCCACTCCAGAAATACATTGCCGTTCATTTCTGTGTGGTAGTCCCTGTTGTCTTTGGCCTTGGCTCTAAAGACGAGGTCACAGTCTGGGAGAAAACCCTGACTAGCAGAACCAGCATGGAGAACTATGAGTCTTTCACCCTTTCCCATTGGTAACTTTCTACCAGACTCCTTACAGTCACCACTGGGTACCCACTGACTGCTGGCTGTGTGTGACGCATTTACCCATGTCTCATCTAAGAAGATGGGCTCATATCCTTCTTCACGTTTCTGCTTGATGGTACGAAGATAATGATTTCGGAGACGAACAATGTCAGACCGCTCACACAACACAGCCCTATTTTCTCCAGTTATCTTTTTGTATTTGTAACCAAATGTATGCAACAGCTGCCATAGTTTGTACTTTGTAACACGTAAATCATGGTCAGTTTCAAGGTGTTTCTTCAAAACTCTTAGGGACAGGTACTTATTTTCTGAGTGCAGTTTAACAATTACACGTCTGACTTGATCCCTCTGAAAACTGTCTAATTTATCAACCTTGCATGGTTTTGACATGTTCCCTACCTCCTTGGCCTGACTATTTGTATCTCGTCGACTAACAACATTTTTAAGTTTCTGAGGGGACATACCATTCAAGAATTTATTAATTGCATAAAAAGGCTTTGCTCTTTCTGCTTCACACATTCAACATCAACTGTTTAACATCTGCTGAGTAGCGCATCTTGTCATTGAATGAACACGGTCACTGTGTAGCACGTGCAGACCGTGCTTGCACTGTTTCTTCCACGGTTTGTCCCCCTACGTGTCATGTACACATTTCTTTACAAAATTACATGAAAGTTTCTTAAAGAACTTCATCCGTCATGGGTCTTAAATTAAACAAAATTCAGATTTTTTGGGGTACAGGGTATTCATGGTCAAGTACCGTATTGATGTTTCATACACTTTTCTGGATTTCGAGTTATTTTGCAATTCATCGTTCTCATTTGGAGTCAAACGGACTGTAGATCCAGGTCAGTCACTGTCAATGTCTTTACACCACAATGGTTGACATGATTTGTTTTGAAGTATTATCTTTATTCATCACATGTTAAAGACAGAGTTATGTCTGTCTTTGAGGGAATTTGTCAGTATTTGTTTGGCTTCAGCCTTAACAAGTATACAAAATCCATAAAGATCCAGGCTTGGATAGGTCTTCAGCAACCCATGCTTGTCGCCGTAAATGGTGGTGGTCGTAAGAGGCGAATAACAGGATTGTGTGGTCAGACTTGCTGACTTGACTGATGTAAGTCATCGTACCCCTTTTGCGCAGGTCGATGCTCGTGATGTCAGTCACTGGATTGTCTGGCCCAGACTCGATTATTTACAGACGGCCGTCACATAACTTGAATGTTACTGAGTTCGGCGTTAAACAACAAAATACAACAACAACAACAAATATACAAGGAAAACTTTACTGAAGATTTTAACTTTTTCAAGTGTACACAATATCTAAGACATGTATGATAGGGACTCTGTTCTATTTGGATTTCCACCAGTGCAGCATTTATTGGCATTAGTAAGATTAATGCCATTCTCTCCCCCCCCCCCCACCCATATACAGAGAACGCACAACGCATACTACAGACCTGTTAATCCTCCTACAATTTGATTAATAATCTCCCAGTCTCCCACATGAGAGACTATTACTCCTGCAAAACAGCATTTTCCATTAATTTAAAAATTCGCCTCCAATTTCCCGTTAGCAAAGACAAAGGACAGGAAATTTCCGATTATGGAAATCTATGAGTGAGTTTTCCGATTAAATCTGTATGCATACATGCATGTGATACCTCCTGATCTGTCTGTGAAGCTCCAGGTTTAGTGACCCTTATCCTGGTCACCCGCTGTTTGAACCAGGTGAGCTTTTGTCTTGTAATCAACTGGTAATTAAATCCATTTGGTGAATGATTTAACAATGTAAACTGTAAAGAAAACTTGGATAGTCCTAACAGGTGCCTGAAGGGTTGAACTTGAAATGCTGATAACTACCTGTCACTTCCTGAAATATACTGTTCTCTTCATGTTCTTAGCATGTTTATTCCTCCATAATTTAAGAATGCCATATGACTGGCCCAGTTATACATGACTTTATTGCAGGGGTAGATTTAACAACAAATTTTTTATGTAGCCAGCAGGGCTTGCTCCTTTCAAAAGCTTCTGGCACTTCTCCAAACAAACTGCCCCAGAATTGAATGTTAGAGGCCACGACTGAGTTACCCAGGGGGCTCCTCACCCCTAAAACGTCTTTTCCTGCTCTCTGAGATTAAATCTGGGCTTCCAACTGCCTCATTTTGTGGCGATTTTAAAAGCAGATAAAGATGTTGTTGTACAGAACTTTACCAAATGGCCGTCAGTTGTGTTATTCTAACAGGATGATCTTTGAGTAAACCATTCACACGACCCCATTCCTACTAAATATTTTCTCATCGAAATTACATGATTCACGAGTAGTGTCCAATTTAAAAAGTAAACATACACAGTGAAGGGGGTGAAAGTTTGACTAGCCTGAATGGGGTAGATTGTGGGTGGTTTATTCTTGGAGGAGGAAAATGCAAATGGAAATAAAGCCTAACTGTACTCACAAGAAAATTATTATTTATTGTTTTATGATATTTGGTTTTCTTAATAAAATTAATAATGATAAAAGTTGTAAATCATCGAAAGCATTGTTAGAAACCAATTTCTATCCAATGATATCCCATGGTACAACTATGAAAATACTCCTGGCGAGGTTACTGTTATATTATTGATGTTCAGAGCTTTCTAATGGTACCAAACATCGAACAAATCTTCGCTCGTGTTATTTATACAAAACTTCGAAAAAGGAGGAATTTCCCGGTATTTTCTAATGCCACTGAACGGAACTATTATCAGGAAATGTGTGATGTAGATCATAATTATAATTATTTTTATCATCATTTTCTGATTAATTCAAGAATGAAAATAAAAAAATAAAAAAATTAGTGGATAGCTCTATTATGAAATCTTAAAACTTCAGAAAAAGGCCATAATTTACGCTTCCTTGGTGCTTAAATCTGGATGTTATGAAGATGTTAGGTTATATCTTTATTAAAAACAAACTTAACTAAGTTATACATGCATTATTCAAATAATGTGATAAACATAACTTTCATATTTATAAACAGTAGGATTAGACCTTTCAAATGGTGTTTGACATGTAGTAGCAAAGATGTTTTACAAGCTGATAATTTCCTCGATAAATGTAGGCTTCATCTATCACCACCAAGTCTTTGGGAACTTGGTGTGATAGCAGTAAAGCCTTCTCACTGACTGGTTGTGTTTTGTAATATATTTATTGCAAGAGTATGTCTCCCTGCTTCAGCTATAATGTTTGGGCCTCCAGTGTTCACACTGGGTCTACAGTTGTTTCAATGTGCTGGCCCTTAGGCTCTCAGTCTACTCTGTGGAGTTTCAGACACTGCTTTTACTCATTGGTTTAAAAGTACCCCATGGACTGTCCCCAAGGAAGTATGCATATTTGGAGCACCCCGTGAATGATAACATATAAGTACAGACTCAATAAATTGTAAAGAGTCCAGCAAGGAATAACAAAAAGACATGAACACTGGTTTTTTCCAGACAAAAGGGCAACTTTAAAATTATTTTCTCTAAGTTATTTTGTCAGAGACCTTCTACAATTTAGTGTTGTAAATACCTGTTTCAGAAAATGTTCTTGACAGTTTTTTCCTCCAGAAGCTTGAAAATAGTTGAACAACAAATCCAGCACTTCCTCCTGTCAGATTAGGAGATCTGTTGTTCGTACAGTAGTTGGAATCTTCATATCATAATATGATTCTCTGAATTTTGCAGGTAATATATGCCGGTCGACAATGGCAGAAGGAATATTTCAACATCTGGTCAAGACTAATGGACTCACTGATCAGGTATATTTTCTTTGTCTGTCTGTACATACAACAGCAGCATGAATTACATGTTTAAAAATTCAAAGTTTTTGTGTTCTTATCAAGGCTCTCATTGTGCAGCATGTCTTTAAGAGTAGGCGGGATAGTGACAGCTATTGACTGATGGTGGTTGAAATATATCAAAGGGCTTGTGGAATATCAAGATACAATGGCAACTAGGATTTCAGGTCCCACACCACACACAGAGCTATAATACAGTTGGCCACTGATACTTGTAAACCAGTGCCTGATATGGTTCTGGTGAATCAGTGTCTATGTGTCTGCTTCACCATTATGTGAGTGTCTTTGTGTCTGCTTTGCAAGTAAATGTGTGTCTGTGTGTCTGCTTTGCTGGTAAATGAATGTCTGTGTATATGCCCTGTTGGTATACGAAGTGTCTGTGTATATGCCCTGTTGGTAAATGAAGTGTCTGTATATATGCCCTGCCAATTAATGAATGTCTGTGTATATGCCTTGCCAGAAAATGAATGTCTGTGTATATGCCCTGCCAGTAAATGAAGTGTCTGTGTATATGCCCTGCCAGTAAATGAAGTGTCTGTGTATATGCCCTGCCAATAAATGAAGTGTCTGTGTCTGTGCCCTGCTAGTAATGAAGTATCTGTATATATGCCCTGCTAGTAATGAAGTGTCTGTGTATATGCCCTGCCAGTAAATGAAGTGTCTGTGTATATGCCCTGCCAGTAAATGAAGTGTCTGTGTATATGCCCTGCTAGTAAAGAAGTGTCTGTGTATATGCCCTGCCAATAAATGAAGTGTCTGTGTCTGTGCCCTGCTAGTAATGAAGTATCTGTATATATGCCCTGCTAGTAATGAAGTGTCTGTGTATATGCCCTGCTAGTAAAGAAGTGTCTGTGTATATGCCCTGCCAGTAAATGAAGTGTCTGTGTATATGCCCTGCTAGTAAAGAAGTGTCTGTGTATATGCCCTGTCAGTAAATGAAGTGTCTGTGTATATGCCCTGCTATTAATGAAGTATCTGTATATATGCCTTGCCAGTAAATGTAGTGTCTGTGTATATGCCCTGCTATATGCCCAGCCAGTAAATGAAGTATCTGTGTATATGCCCTGCCAGGTAATGAAATATCTGTGTATATGCACTGCTAGTAAATGAAGTGTCTGTGAATATGCCCTGCCAGGTAATGAATGTCTGTGTATATGCCCTGCTAGGTATGAGGTATCTGTGTATATGCCCTGCCAGTAAATGAAGCATCTGTGTATATGCCCTGCTAGTAATGAAGTGTCTGTGTATATGCCCTGCTAGTAATGAAGTGTCTGTGTATATGCCCTGTCAGTAAATGAAGTGTCTGTGTATATGCCCTGCTACTAATAAAGTGTCTGTGTATATGCCCTGCTAGTAAAGAAGTGTCTGTGTATATGCCCTGTCAGTAAATGAAGTGTCTGTGTATATGCCCTGCCTGTATATGAAGTGTCTGTGTGTATGCCCTGCCAGTAAATGAAGTGTCTGTGTATATGCCCTGCCTGTATATGAAGTGTCTGTGTATATGCCCTGCTAGTAATGAGGTATCTGTGTATATGCCCTGCCTGAATATGAAGTGTCTGTGTATATGCCCAGCCAGTAAATGAAGTATCTGTGTATATGCCCTGCCAGGTAATGAAATGTCTGTGTATATGCCTTGCCAATAAATGAAGTGTCTGTGTATATGCCCTGCCAGGTAATGAATGTCTGTGTATATGCCCTGCCTGTATATGAAGTGTCTGTGTGTATGCCCTGCCAGTAAATGAATGTCTGTGTATATGCCCTGCCTGTATATGAAGTGTCTGTGTGTATGCCCTGCCAGTAAATGAAGTGTCTGTGTATATGCCCTGCCAGTAAATGAAGTGTCTGTGTATATGCCCTCCCAGGTAATGAAGTGTCTGTGTATATGCCCTGCCAGGTAATGAATGTCTGTGTATATGCCCTGCCTGTATATGAAGTGTCTGTGTGTATGCCCTGCCAGTAAATGAATGTCTGTGTATATGCCCTGCCTGTATATGAAGTGTCTGTGTGTATGCCCTGTCAGTAAATGAAGTGTCTGTCTATATGCCCTGCCTGTATATGAAGTGTCTGTGTATATGCCCTGCTAGTAATGAGGTATCTGTGTATATGCCCTGCCTGAATATGAAGTGTCTGTGTATATGCCCTGCCAGTATATGAAGTGTCTGTGTATATACCCTGCCTGTATATGAAGTGTCTGTGTATATGCCCTGCCAGTAAATTAAGTGTCTGTGTATATGCCCTGCCTGTATATGAAGTGTCTGTGTATATGCCCTGCCAGTAAATGAAGTATCTGTGTATATGCCCTGCCTGTATATGAAGTGTCTGTGTATATGCCCTGCCTGTAAATGATAGTGTTTGCCATGTGACAGTGGGAGATCGATAGCGCTGCTCTTGGAGGCTGGCATAATGGTGTTCCCCCAGATGACCGCACAATGAGAACGTTGAAGAAAAATGGGATCACAGGTTACAAGCATCTGGGTCGACAGGTAGGTCTTGAGGCTGGAGTACTGGGTGTTGGTGTCCGGTCATAGACGACTGTTTAAACAATGACACTGTAATATTCGTTGTCAGATACTAGATGAATTTAAATCAGTTTCAAAAATCAAAATCAACATGTGACAGTTTTATGCTGCAGACCAAATCTTTTCACTGCACAAACGATTTCATTTCAGATTAAGAAGGCTGACTTTCATGACTTTGATGTCATATTTGGAATGGATGAAGACAACATGAGGTATACCAATAACCTGTCTTGGCAACATGCCAAGCTCCTTCCCAGCGCGTGACACCTTCATTACACTCTTGGTAACATCGCTGCCACCAGTGTGGGCGCGGCCATTATAAGAATCTTGAAATTTGCCCTCTAACCCCAAATGTAGTAACGTTGATACTTTTGTTAATGTCTTTGGGAATGTCATGATATTTCATTTTGAAAAGGTTTACGACTTACCATGTTTTCCAGATGAATTTACTTTGTTGTTTTAATAATCAGATTGGTTCGGGATTGCAGACTAATGGAAAATCAACCAACTTCTCCCTTACATTCTTACTTTATCAATAACACAATAGTTTTAATGAAACAGAAATTCAAATTGACAAACGAAGAAAGTAATTTAGCAGCAATAAGTGTATTCGGCGTCACGACAGTCGTCACTTGTTTGTAAACATAACGGTCATTCGGTTGCGAGCTCAACTCCAAGCATGGTTGTGGCCACCTATTCACAGTGGGGAGTTTTCACTGGTGGCAGCGATAGTTAAGAGAGCTCCGCGAACGGGCTATTGCTGTGAGGAGCCTGGGCAACATGCATGGCAAGGGAGATAACTTCTCACACTTTATAACCATCATGTATTAAGAAGTGAATGATAGGATTCCTGCTATTGTTCATACTACCAATACCATGATTTTGGTAAATACTTGATTTTGATTGGTCAATAAGAGGTATCAAATCACAATACACCCCTTCTGATTGAAACAGCAGATATGATGGCCACATCACTGTGGAGGCTAATATTTTTAGAATAGTACTTATACTGTCATTGTCAGTAGTTAGATTTAGATAATTATGTGAAACAATTATATGCTGCAAAATGCTAAGTTGTGGTTACTAGGATATTTTAAAAAACCATTTTAGAAATCTGTAAAGAGAAGGTATTTCAAGCTTGACAAGAGAGAGCTTGCTATTTGGCACTTTTCTTTGTCTGACTGCGACATCATATCTTTTACGTCACAATGAGCGATTTGACGTCATAATAGTGACTTGCGATGTAGAATGAAATCTTTCCTTAGCCTGCTTAATTTTCTTTAGGGGTGCCCACCTCATGTTAGCATGGTTAGCTTACAAACTTGCCGTGCTTATATGCTTTCAGTGCCTGGCATAAGTTCGTGTGAAGGGTTATGGTGTAAACAAACTGCTTGAGCATATAGAACACCACATTTTGTTTAAAGGCTGTTGTTGGTGATTCTGCTAATTCTGACTGACAACCCAATGAAACCCCATCTGCCCAAGGCGAGAAAATTAAATGACTGTAAAAGTCCAGTTTCCACCCTTGCCGAACTAGGCTGGTATTATGGAGTTAGATTTTGGCTGGACTAACGAGTCTATGCATAGTCCAATCAAAATCGCTCACCGAAATCAAAATCCAGTTCGTAAACTGTCATGCAGAGTTCGGTCGATTGTAGGATTTGCAGAGCATGTGCACCGCCAACTCGTTGTCAACAGATATTTTCCAAATCTTTTCAAGTTTTTAATCAAGGTGCTCACATGATTTTTTGCACCTCGTAAGACCCGTTTTATCACAATATAGATCTTGTTTGTCGATCAGATCATCTTGACTGGGCACCGCCATTTTGTTTGAAACAAATGCAAGTGATATGAGAGGTGGAATCTACAGGTAACCTAGCTCTACAATGAAAACACAGTGTGTTTATCACCTAACTGACTGTGGGCAGACTGAAATACATGGTTCTGTTTGAACTTGTGTTTGACAATTGCTGATGAAATTGTTTGGTTGACATGGTTGATCAACTTTTACAAATGTGGAATAAAATTTATGCCTCCACAACAGTATGCAATATTCCTTGCTACTTTGACAGTAAAACCGTGACGAGCAATGAAGAACATTCACCCGAACACAGCAACTGACCACATCGTACCCACTACCCAGCATGCTCTTGTGTTAGTATCATCTTTTCCTTCATCGCCCAACTGACAGGATGTGTGTACACTGTACTCTTAGACGTATGACTGGAAAATAGACCTGTGTTGTCTTTGGTTTTTACTTAGTTGTTTCTCTATATGAGAAACAATAAAGTTTGGAAATCTGGCTGTGATAACGGCTGGAAACCGTTTTCATTGTGGTGTGGTGTTTTATGTGTTCATTTCATGTCATGTAATACGCCTGGATTTCATGCTTGGCAAACTCAGTATTTGCTTCATTGTTTAATGTACATCATGTACATCGTCTTTGCAATTTTGGTCATTGTCCATTTGTGTAAATATTATGCTGCACATGGGATTTTCCAGCCTGCACATGGGATTTTTCAGCCATTCCAAATTCTGCACAAAAATCTTGCGATGTTTATCTATGATGCTCCAGTGGTAAACACCTTTCCTGCTGTCATGCAGGGTAGGCTGCATTTGTTACCTGTGCTCTTTGTTTTCATCTATACTTATTTTTATGATATTATTTAGATTCTGAAGAATGGACATCATTATCATTTTACCTAAGCCATGCTTGAATTGCAAGGGCAAGAAATCCTTTGACCCCTAAGTCCGTGTCTAGATTGCCAGGTTCTCTACACTATCGACCATCAGTGCACTGATCTGTCTGTCCCTTCCCTTCAAACTTATCTGTCAACCATGGTCTGCGGAGAAGTTGTTTATCAGCCGAGTCTAGGAACTCGAGGAGAAATGGCTCTCGACCACCCAAGCCGAAGTCCAGGCATTGCAGATGTGTGTGGCCTGGCTGGGCAAACAGTCCACTAGGAGGATGTCTCCTACCAGTCGTCCCTCTATAACCTAAAAGGGTGGGGGTATGTAGTTATACCAAGGAATTCCTTCAGTCTGAATTCTTTTCCAATGGGGGTACAGTTTCTATACCAATAGGGAAGGTGCAGTGCAAAGTTTGATTGCAATAAGTAGATTTTCTGAGAAAATATTGCTTTTTTCATGTTTTGAACTTAGAAATATGTTGGAGTCAAAATCAGGGTATGAGTGAGCCCTGTTCACTTTTTGCCTTGTTGCATACTGTTGTGGAGGGGTAAGTTAAAAACATAAGGAACGTAAGTGTTTTCCATAGTTATTTATGCCTGCCTGTCCATCCCCTCAAAGATTGGGTCAGCCTGTCAATGACGACAGGAGCTCTTTGGAAAAGATGACGCCAACACAAGAGCATGCTGGGTACCATGTGTCGGGTGAATGTTCTACATTGTTCTTCACTGTTTTACTACAGACATAGTAAGGAATATTGTGTCAGGAAAGGTATATAAATAAGGGGAATATTTAATTTCCCAGAGACGTACCGGTATATGGTCCCGGGGCACCAAGAAGGTTAACTCGACAATGGCTGATAAGATATTACTTTGACAATACATGGTCTTAGAGTTCCACTTGATCCCAGGTTTAACCCCTGACTCCTATCTGTAACGCAAGAAGGTGTTATATGTAAATGATGTATTCGATGACACATCGTGTGATTATTGTTGATTATTGTTATGACATTGCTCAGGCATTTCCCCTTTCCTTTATCTGGCCAGGGAGATGGAACTTAGCCAATGTTCAACCTCTCAGTAAAGCATACATGACAAGACAGTTTGATATCAATGCTTACAGTGAACTGGATGAAATTAAGCCAAAGTCCTGTCGGTCTAAGTTGCTGATGCTGGGAGAGTGTGATCCAGAAGGGGAGCTGATAATAGAAGACCCATACTACGTGAGTCACACATCCATCACACCCACATTGGTGAAACACACACCAAACTCAGGACAATAGAAGACCCATACTACGTGAGTCACACATCCATCACACCCACACTGGTGAAACACACACTTAACTCAGGACAATAGAAGACCCATACTACGTGAGTCACACATCCATCACACCCACATTGGTGAAACACACACTTAACTCAGGACCATAGAAGACCCATACTACATGAGTCACACATCCATCACACCCACACTGGTGAAACACACACTTAACTCAGGACCAAAGGAGACCAGTACTACGTGAGTCACACATCCATCACACATCCATCACACACCCACACAGGTGAAACACACACTTAACTCAGGACCAAAGGAGACCTGTACTACGTGAGTCACACATCCATCACACACCCACACAGGTGAAACACACACTTAACTCAGGACCATAGGAGACCTGTACTACGTGAGTCACACATCCATCACACATCCACAGGTGAAAAACACTTAACTCAGGACCACAGAAGACCTGTACTCTGTGAGTCACACATCCATCACACATCCATCACACATCCACAGGTGAAACACACACCAAACTCAGGACCACAGAAGACCTGTACTATGTGAGTCACACATCCATCACACATCCATCACACATCCACAGGTGAAACACACACCAAACTCGGGACCACAGGAGACCTGTACTATGTGAGTCACACATCCATCACACATCCACAGGTGAAACACACACCAAACACGGGACCACAGAAGACCTGTACTATGTGAGTCACACATCCATCACACATCCACAGGTGAAACAATCACCAAACTCAGGACCACAGAAGACCTGTACTATGTGAGTCACACATCCATCACACCCACACAGGTGAAACACACACCAAACTCAGGACCACAGAAGACCTGTACTTTGTGAGTCACACATCCATCACACATCCATCACACCCACACAGGTGAAACACACACCAAACCCAGGACCATACAAGACCTGTATTCCGTGAGTCACACATCCATCACACATCCACAGGTGAAGCACACACCAAGCTCAGGACCATGGAAGACCTGTGCTATGTGAGTCACACATTTCTTAGCGGTACCTGTATTTGTGATTTAGTTCCAGTCATATCACAAACGTGACTTGCCATGAAACCCTACACTTCAAGACACAGATGTTCTCAAGATATGCAGACACAGGTTATAGAAAGTGTGCACAATGAATGCTAGAGATGCGGACTACATCCATTATATAATCACTACCACTCACTTCTCTGGTTCTCAGTGTAGGTGGCGCCATGCGCCATGCAGTATGTCATTGCAGTGGGCCATCAGAAATTTTCATGTGTTGTTGATTGCGACTAGCATGCTGTTTCAGTAAACATCCTTACCTGAAAATGCATATTATTTAAGAAATAAACGACTGCGAGTGGTTTCTGCCATTGCGTTTATCTGTATTGTCCAGCTACATATATGGGGAACAACTCATTAGACGCACCCCTCCTAAAAATAACGTCTAATATACGATGTCATCAAGTTGCAAGCGCATGTTCGAATCTCCAGATATGACGTCATGATAGAACAATGTTTTTGTGAAATAAACCACATTTCGTTCTTTATTGTTCTTTGTGACTTATTGCGTAGCTATCTTATATTTTTAAATATATCTTGACAGAAAAAGTACAGAAATTCAAAATACATGTAGTTCAATGTAGTCCACTGCTTGCATTGTATTAGACATGTCCGTCTTTGACGTGTATTTTGATTATTTAGAATTGTTGTTTTCTCAGATTCGATGTAAATATTATCAGTGTACTGTATTCTGTTGCTAAAATATACATAATGTGTTAGCATGGTAGTGTCATTTCTGTTGGGGCAGGGGGCAGGGCGGGGCAGGCATGGATGGCCAAGTTGTTTAAGCGCTAAAAATCACTGCGTGGAGTTGCCTCCTCTATCGGTAAACTTTTGTAAGTTGGTTGTTTAACGCCGCACTCAGCAATATTCAAGCTATATGACGGTGCCTGTAAATAATCCAGTCATTGACATCATGAGCATCGATCCACGCAATTGAGATACCATGGCATGCATCAACCAAGTCAGTGAGCCTGACCAACCGATCCTGTTAGTCGCCTCTTACGACAAGCATAGTCACCTTTTACGGCAAGCATTGGTTGCTGAAGACCTATTCTACCCCTGATCTTCACGGGTCAAACTTTTCTAAGAGCTGCATTATCAGTTTAAGGCAATATTACTGAAATACTGAAGCTTTGTTGAACCAAACTTTCACATTGTGTTACAGGGTAACAACATCAAGGACTTTGAGAAGGTGTACGAGCAGTGCCACAGAGCTTGCAACCATTTTCTCCAGAATTCAGACAAATTTCTTTCATCCTGACCTCAACATGGGCCTGATGTGAAGGCATGAAGAGTTACCCCCCCTACATGCTGTGTAGCCTCTTGATGTGTGTGTCATGGAGAAGGCCCTGTGGATCCTCTATATACACAGTGATATGCAGATATTAGCACTGTAACTGTGTAGGATACATCCGAAATCCCTTGTGTCTCTCCTGTATCTGGGTGATGGCAGTATGACTAGTGCTGTGAATTGTTGTTTATTTGTTGTGTTACATGTTTCAGGATCAGAGATGAAGGATGCTAGGGTGGTTCTGATAGTGCTGTAGGTGGATGGTTTGGCTGGGACGATACACCAACTGTGCGATCCGATACGGATCACGATACTTGTATGTTTTTTACTTGTGGTGCATAAGCCATGCGTAAGTCAAATACCTGTCACTCTGACAATTTACTGTTGGCATTGTCATGTATGACGCAATGGACTAATTTATGTTTTCACCACTAATTTTCACTACTAATTAGTGTTTGATGTAACAGTTATTAAAGCAAATATTTAAGATATAAATCTATTTTTTTACTTTTTGTGTGACTGTAATCGATACGTGTATCAGGAAGTAAAATATTGCAATTGGTGTGTCGTCCCATCATGTGTGTATGGCACCACATATACTGGTGGTTGGTTGTGGGTTCAAATCCCTGATTCCCCTTATGATCTATTCATGGGTTTCATGGTCAACCTCTTCAACCATCTTCACTTTCCTCATACATTACTGGCACACTGTCATGTGACTGAAATCCCCATTGAATCAGCATTAAAGCCAAGTCACTTGCTGCTTGGGCCCCTGAAGTAGACGTCACTTGCTGTTGGGGCCCCTGAAGTAGATGTCAGTGTCTGATGCCAACAATGTCTTGTCTCATTGAAAGTATGGCCTTGCTATTTATCTGTCAGTATGTGACAATATTTGATTTATATCCGTTTTTTAAATACCCTTGAAGCATTAAAACATGTTGTGTGATAACTGTTTCTCTGTACAGAGGACTTGAATGTAATACAATTCAAACAAACATCTTTGTTGTTGACTTGTTGTTTGTTGAAGTTGTCAAAAAGGATATAAATGATATGCAATGTCTTACAATCTGCAGACCCATGAAGATCCGGGGTAGAATAGGTCTTCAGAAACCCATGCTTGCCGTAAAAGGCGACTATGTTTGTCATAAGAGGCGACTAACAGGATCAAGTGGTCAGGTTCGCTGACTTGGTTGATGCATGTCATCGATCCCAATTGCGTGCATCGATGCTCATGATATTAATCATTGGATTGTCTGGTCCAGACTTGATTATTTACAGACTGCCGACATATAGCTGGAATATTGTTCAGTGCAACCTTCAGCAACCAACAAACGAACAAACAAACAATATCTACTGCGTATCATTTTGACAACATGAAACAATTTTTTGAAAAAAGTAGTAAACATGTTTTTTTGCTACTACTCCATATATGTTCGCTTAAAGTTTCAATACTTAAATATATTTAATACCAATTAAAAGAAGCTACTGACAATAATGTTTGTTTGTTTTGTTTGTTGTTGTTTAATGCTGCACTCAGCTATTTATCAGCTATATAACAGTGGTCTGTAAATAATCGAGTCTGTACCAGACGATCCAGTCATTGACATCATGAACATCGATCCACGCAATTGGGATACAATGACATGCATCAAACATGTCAGCGAGCCTGACCACCCGATCCCGTTACGACAAGCATAGTGAGTGTGTGAGTGAGTGAGTGAGTGAGTGAGTGAGTTGGGTTTTACGCCGCTTATAACAGTATTCCAGTTATATCACGGCGTGTCAGCTTAATGTGGGAGGAAAGCCCGAAGTGAAGCAGGTCTCAGACGTTTACCACTTCGGTGAAACCCACGAGCACGGGTATGGTGCTGACAAACCTAGAAACATAATCAGGGCGAACCGGGATTCGAACCCACAATCATAGGTTTCTGGCGTGCCCAAGGGACGCAACTCTGCACAGCTAATCGCGGTGCCTTAGACGACTGGGCCACCCGTGCCCCCTACGACAAGCATAGTCACCATTTACGGCAAGCATTGGTTGCTATTCTACCCTGGATCTTCACAGTTCTACTGACAATAATGACACTGCTTGCATGAGAAAAACTAATCAACTATGTATCTGTGTGACAAAATCACCATTACCCATTAATTACATGAAGGCAACGCTTTTCCTTGAACACTGCTGCAGTGACTGTGCACAGACAGCTTGTTGTTACTTAGATTTATCACTGTTAAGTTACAAGACATCTGGAACAGCATTATAAGCAAATGCATTTTTATGTATGCCATTGGTTTAAAAATACCTTAAATAGGCTGGTGCCAAGGTTGTAGAAATATATTGAATACCCAATAGACTGGAGCCAGGGATTAGAAAAAATTATTGAATACCGAATAGACTGGGGCCAGTGATGTAGAAATATGCTGAATACCCAATAGACTGGAGCCAGGGTTGTAGAAATATATGGAATACCCAATAGACTGGAGCCAGGGATTAGAAAAATTATTGAATACCGAATAGACTGGGGCCAGTGATGTAGAAATATGCTGAATACCCAATAGACTGGAGCAAGGGTTGTAGAAATATATTGAAAACCCAATAAGCTAGACTCGAGGTGGTGGAGGGTAGAAATATATTGAATACCCAATAGACTGGAGCCAGGGTTGTAGAAATATATTGAATACCCAATAGACTGGAGCCAGGGTTGTAGAAATATATTGAATACCCAATAGACCGGAGCCAGAGTTGTAGAAATGTCTTGAATACCCAATAAACTGGAGCCAGAGTTGTAGAAATGTCTTGAATACCCAATAAACTGGAGCCAGAGTTGTAGAAATGTCTTGAATACCCAACTGATTGGAGCCAGGGGGAGTAGAAATATATTGAATGCCCAACAAACTTGGCCAAGGGGAGTAGAAATATATTGAATACCCAATAGACTGGAGCCAGGGGGAGTAGAAATATATTGAATACCGTATAGACTAGGCCAAGTGGAGTAGACATATTGAATACCCAATAGACTAGGCCAAGGGGAGTAGACATATATTGAATACCCAATAGACTGGAGCCAGGGGGAGTAGAAATATATTGAATACCGAATAGACTAGGCCAAGTGGAGTAGAAATATATTGAATACCGCCAGACTTGGCCAAGGGGCGTAGAATTATATTGAATACCCAATAGACTAGGCCAAGGGGAGTAGACATATTGAATACCCAATAGACTAGGCCAAGGGGAGAAGACATATATTGAATACCCAATAGACTAGGCCAAGGGGAGTAGACATATTGAATACCCAATAGACTAGGCCAAGGGGAGTAGACATATTGAATACCCAATAGACTAGGCCAAGGGGAGAAGACATATATTGAATACCCAATAGACTAGGCCAAGGGGAGTAGACATATATTGAATACCCAATAGACTAGGCCAAGGGGAGTAGACATATTGAATACCCAATAGACTAGGCCAAGGGGACTAGACATATATTGAATACCCAATAGACTAGGCCAAGGGGACTAGACATATATTGAATACCCAATAGACTAGGCCAAGGGGAGTAGACATATATTGAATACCCAATAGACTAGGCCAAGGGGAGTAGACATATATTGAATACCCAATAGACTAGGCCAAGGGGTGTAGACATATTGAATACCCAATAGACTAGGCCAAGGGGAGTAGACATATATTGAGTACCTAAGAAAAAAGATGAATACCCAATAAGGCTGATGTGACATGAGATTGTGAAGACTTCTCAGGAGCACTGCTATAGTGGCAGGAAGCTGGACCTGGCTGGGTGTCGGAGGGTTGATTGCATCTTCCAGGGCCTACTCCTGCAACACAAAGGACAGCAGTCAAGCCATTTGATAAGACCATTCCCACAAGGTTTCAACTTGCATCAACACATACTAGTACTCATATTCAGCACTGACTTGTAAGTAGAGTTTCAGATAGATTGTTTATGCGAGAAAGGATAGACTAGGTGTTCATGCAGCAACAGTTGGTCATGCCAAAGACAGAGGAAAACTGTTGACTGACAGGTCGGTGGAGAGTGAGTGAGTTAGGGTTTATTGTCAGTTCAAGCATAGCATGTCCGCTTGATATGACAGGGCAGCCTGAAAGGATGCATGCATTAAAACCTAGAAGCATTGGATGGTATTGACCAAACTCAATTACGGGCCACCAGATCCTGGCTACCCGTAAGTATGTGCAGTTCGTGAATTAGGAAACACTGAAGTGACCAGGGCAGGTGAGGGGAGATCCTTGTCTTGAGTTAACACCTCACTGTCACCACAACTCGCCCAGTGTTCCAAAATGGTGATTGACTGTCTTCCTTTGTTTGTTGTTTAACACTGCACTCTGCAATATTTTAGCTATAAGACGGCGGTCTGAAAACAATCGAGTCTGGACCAGACAATCCAGTGATTGACATCACGAACATCGTCAGTGAGGCTCACCACCCGATTCCTTTTACGGCATGGGTTGCTGAATACCTATTCTAACTTCACCAAGCATGCTACATTGAGGGATGAGAGTGTAATCAAAGGCAAAACTCAAGATGCCCAAGTTTGCACGTTTTGTTTTTTCCATTTTCTTTGTGCTCTCGGGTTCAATCATTAACTATTACTTAATCAACAATTCTGTCAATTGTGTAAATGTTCAGTTGCATTATATAATGTCCACAAATCATCACCTTGGCTTAAATAACCTTCTTTTATGTTGACAATACCGTGTATTGGCACTGCATGGAGACAAGCTGAAGTACAAATACCGAGGAGATGCAACTGGCGCAGAAGTAGGTGCAATGTAATGCATGATACATCTAAGCAAAGAAACCCTTCCTACCGATCGTAATCTCAAACTCGACGCCGGAGACTCTTGTTTTTGGTCGACGTCCCAGTTCCACACTTTGCTGGATTCACTAGCTTCAGTTGCAGCATGTGACAAGCAGTGACAAGCAGTGACAAGCAGTGGCAAGCAGTGACAAGCAGTGACAAGCAGTGACAAGCAGTGGCAAGCTGTGACAAGCAGTGACAGCAGTGGCAAGCAGTGACAAGCAGTGGCAAGCTGTGACAAGCAGTGACAGCAGTGGCAAGCAGTGACAAGCAGTGACAAGCAGTGACAAGCAGTGGCAAGCTGTGACAAGCAGTGGCAAGCAGTGACAAGCAGTCACAAGCAGTGGCAAGCTGTGACAAGCAGTGACAGCAGTGACAAGCAGTGGCAAGCAGTGACAAGCAGTGACAAGCAGTGGCAAGCAGTGACAAGCAGTGACAAGCAGTGACAAGCAGTGGCAAGCTGTGACAAGCAGTGGCAAGCAGTGACAAGCAGTCACAAGCAGTGACAAGCAGTGGCAAGCAGTGACAAGCAGTGACAAGCAGTTGCAGCATGTGACAAGCAGTGACAAGCAGTGGCAAGCAGTGACAAGCAGTTGCAAGCAGTGGCAAGCCTTATCACATTGTACATTCAATATTGCTGTGACGTAGCTGTTATTGCTGCCGCCCGCTGCGACATAACGCTATTATTGCTGTGGTCAAGCTGTAATAAGGCGTGATAATGCTGTGATGCGACTATGACATGCAATGACACAGCTGTTGTAGTGATGCGATATTAGTGCCATGTAGCTGTTGTATTGTAATGCTCTTGTGTTGGACTTGGCAAGATAACTACAGGGCGTGACTATGGAGCAAAACAACATTCACTCACTCAGCGCACATATGCCCGTTCAGCGCACTTTTTGTCGTACTGGATTGAGGCGAAAGCAACTGATATCTTTTTCATTTATCTGTAATCTCTATGGCTTGATTATAGAAACCGGTTTATGTTTATCGTTTCTTTGGAAACACGATCCAACATGCATGTTAACGAGCAAGTAGAGCTTTTTGCAAGAAAAACACCAGGTTTCAGCACATGAGAAACTTACAAATTACGAAGATATCGGGTGATCTCATTTCGCTTCCTGTTCCATCATGCTTGGTTTTTGCTGCAAAGGAAACATGTAGTTTCTAAACATGCATCCCCGTGGGGTTTCCGGGTAGAACTGATACCCAGTGACCTATGAGGGGGTAAGACTGAAATAGGTCGGGTGGTCCGCGTCGGTGGTCAGACAAAGTTGATTGTGTGACATCGCCCCCTCATGGCGTTGGACGTCCCTCGTAATACCCATCACTGGTTCATCTGACCCAGACAAGGATTACATACAGGCCGCTGTGACATAAATGAAATATTTATGACTACGGTGTAAAACAATAAACCAGTACCAGCCGTCGCACACTGACGCTGGAGCGTTATACTGCGTATATCATGACTTACTTGACTTACATAGCAACTGCAAATTAACATTGCTGGCTGTAGCCCAAACAGAACACACAAACAACAAAGTAAACTGTACCCTTGTCCTGAAATAAACAAAAACACGGAGGGATTAACAAGGGTAGACATAGAAAAGTGAGGGGGGTGGGGGTGGAAAGAGGTACACACACACACACACACCACAC